TCTAGGTCGCAAGAAGCATCATCATAGGGAACAGATCTCTATGGAAACCCTGGAGAATATTCAGGAAAGGAAGAACAAGGAGACAGTAATTAGCAACAACCGAACAAGAGCAAAGGAAATCTAGGCACAAGCCGAATACACCGAATCAAACAATCAAGTCAAGTAGAGCATTAGAAAGGACAAGCAGAAATACGTGGAAGTGCCAACAACGCCAGTGGAAAAAGCTGCAAGAGAAGGAAGCTGTATGACACAACCAAGAAACTGGCAAGCAAATATAGTAAACCACAATGACTGGTCAAGGACAAGGAAGGCAAGACAATCATCGAGATTCAAGAACAGAGGAACAGATGGATGGGATAATTTGAAAAAGTCTTGGATAGATCAGCTCTATTGAATCCACCAGACATCGAAGCATCATCTATCAACATTCCTATAGGTGTCACTGCACCAACGACGGAAGAAATCAGAATGGTTATCAGGTAAATCAAGAGTGGGAAAGCAGCGGGACCTGACAATAAACCAGCTGAAGCTCTGAAGTCAAGCATAGAAGAAACTGCAAGTATGCTTCATGTTTTATTCAGGAAAATTCGGGTGGAAGAACAAGTGCCACCAACACACTCGAAAGAAGGACACCTCATCAAGATACCGAAGAAAGGATATCTGAGAGAATGTGAGAACTACAGAGAAATCACACTACTGCCAGCACCAGAAAAGGTTTTCAACAGAGTGCTGCTGAACCGGATGAAAGACGCAGTAGACGCTCAGCAGAACGGATTCCGTGGTGATCGGTCGTGCACAGGGAACATCGCGATACTACGGATCATCCTTGAACAATCAGCTGAGTGGAATTCGTCACTATACATCAAATTCATTGACTATAAGAAGGCGTTTGACAGTGTGGATAAGAGGATATTATGTAATCTTCTTTGTCACTATGTGCAACAGCTGCATTCCCACAATTGAAGAATATAAGGGACTCAAAACAACTGTCAACCAATATCAAAGTAACAATCTTCAATACGAACGTCAAGACAGTTCTACTGTAAGGAGCTGAAACTTGGAGAACTACCACAACCATAATCAAAAAGTACAAATATTTATAAACAGTTGCCTACGCAAGATACCCAATGTCTTTTGGTCGGATACCATCAGCAACAGACTACTGTGAAAGAGCTTCGGGAGTTTTGATTGAGCCCGGGGGACGATTTGTGTGTTTAATCACCTTAGATTTCCGGCACCTTACACAAAATCGCGCCCACTCCCCCACTTCTTTATTCATAACAGGCAAGATACGAGACTGATGGTTGCACGGACACCTGAATGAGATAGTTTGTGCAATGTATTGGGGATGTTGCATCGATAGGGTTTCGGCAAATTTAAAGGGTCCCTACCAATGAGTGTGCCATATTGCAAAGTTTCACTACCTGTCCTCTCTGTTTAATACATCGTTCCAGGGTTGGGAAAGATAACTCGTGTTGAATATCAGTGTATTCTTTTTGAAGCGGGGCGAGTTTAGGTAGGTCGATTCCATGTAAAATGTTCAAAGAAGTTAAGCGAGAGCGAGCGTCTGCAACTACATTGTTTACTTCAGAAATGTACTGCATTTCAGAAGTAAACTTCGAAATGTAGTCCAGTTGTCGAGATTCTTGAAGAAAATAGTTGTCTGAAAACAAGCTTAGAGTGAAAGTATGAAGCTAACTGTCGGTAAATGGGGTGCATTGTTGGCCTTTCACAGTGTTAAAAGTGCCGCAAAGCACAAAATGCGGCTTGGAGTTCCTTGCTGAAAGTGTTATGCCTTGATTCAGCATCTTGCATCCATCCCGTAAAGAATGCTAAAGGTTGCCAGATGTTGTTTACCCACTATTAAGGAACACCTACGACTGTCGAGTTGGATGTGTTTAACGCGTTACTATTGGTTGCCCTGATGCCATAGAGTGCGAGCATAATTGCCTTTCAGATAAGTATCGTGTGGTGGTGCATTTTTGTGGTGTCATCCAAAGTTGTCTGTTGTGGGTCTGGTGGGGGACACAAACTCTAGTGTGAACCATCGATAAAAACTTATCAGCACGTCAAACTTGCGTAACGGCTTGACTGTGGTCGAGTCTCGACAGACCGGGTTTGCTAAAACATTGTTTTGTAGAAAGCGAACACCTTAAAATCGATAGTGTGCCTGTAGGAAGCGATTTCCTACAGGTTTAATTCTGAGCTATTCCCTAGACCGTCGAATACAGAGTCTTGGTTTGGCCAAAGTCAGAATAAGCAAGCTATTTGGCTAGATAAACTTTATCTGTTCCTAAACATAAATTAACATCGTTAGTGTACAAACAAACGGTACGGTCTATTAACACAGGGAAAAACAGAGACAAATAACATACCGAACAGTAGCCAGAGAATAGGAAAAATGTGTCAACAAAGCAAATATTGTTTTACAATGAACACCAAACTGCGATTGGTTAATAAAGAGATACAGTCGCACAAGGTCGAAAGGAGTTAATGTGGTGGTGGGTGTTCCACTTTATTATCATTGAGTTCGTCTATCGATCACATTTTACAGTGTCCGAGGTGGACGGTACCGGTTGGACTTTATATACACTTACAGCAGTTCCATGCTTTTGAGTCATTAGACTACAATATTCGGTTACTCCAGCTAGAATTCTCTGTTTGACTTTCCAACCAAGCATTCATCAACTTATGGGTGCATAAAATTGAGACCTTAGAACGCGTCATCGATGAATCTTTGAAAACTTTGTGCAGCCTTTCTCAAACCAGAAAGCATATCAAGAATTTGTAAACCGAATGGAGTGGTGATAGCCGTTTTAGAAGTGTGGTTTGCAGTCATAAGAATTTAGTTATACACGTTTATTAGATCGATTTTCAAGAAAAAATTGTACCGCTTAGTAGTAGCTGTCAGGTCTTGAATGTGTAACAAAGGATAATGATCAGGCGTACTTTTTGTATTTAGTTGCCGATAGTCACTAGCTGCACGCCGATCGTCACTGTCCTTCTTAGAGGCTACGTGCAAAAAAACATCCCCTTGAAATATTTGATTGTCGGATAATTCTCAGTTCTATCACACGTTCAAATTCATTTTCGGCCAAGCCTAGCTTTTCAAGAGCTAGTTGGTGTTTTGTTAAGTTCAGGGTACCTGTTGAGTTCCTGTTAGAGGAATGGATCGGCTATTGGCTTAAAAGTGACTAGGCATAACCTATGACCTGAAAATCCAGTTCTACAAGCAGGCAATCAAGTATTTACGTCTCCTAATTTCGGTTTACCTGTGTCGATAAGCAGATTATGGAAATGTGTGGAAGCCACACTAATGTTTGCCACAAAATCTTCTGTAACAACGAAAGTCCAGTGAGTGGGTTTTCGTAAACCTGTGTTAAGATGAACATCTTTCTCCTCATGAGCAGTGATCGGTTTTTTATTCGGTACCAGTAAGTTGGAGACCGGTTATTGTAGACGGTCAATATTATTCATGGAGAAAACGTCTAAATTTGTGCCGGTGTCTATTAGATGGCGAACGCTCGTTATCCTATTAGTGTTATATAATAGACCGCTATGTTGTCCCGCTGCCACTAAAGCATACCGGCGAGCAAGTTTCCCGAAACTTTCGTTGCGGCAAAACGTTTAGGGTTTGAAAAATTGTAGGATGTCCTGAGACTTCTATACTATTTGTGATGCAATGCAAATCGGGGTTATCTGTCTCGTAGTCTGAAGATAGATATTCTCAGTGACGGGCTTCTTTGTGATGTTTTGGCGCGTCTGCGATTATGATGAATATCAAGATAACGAGTGAGAGTATGACAGAGATCTGTGATGTCATTTCAGGCCATATGAAGCTTTCCTTCTGCAGAACAAGCCTCGGTATTGGAGGTCTTGGAGATCTTCAGAATCGAATCGGCAGATTTAACAAGTTTGCCTAAAGCGTCATTTTGGAATGAACCGAGAACCAATTGAACCTGTTGGGGGATCTTGGATAAGAAGTGTTGTGTAAAAGGCCTTTATCGAAAGGCCGTTGACCAATGACCTCTAGCGCACTTAGCAACATTTTCGTTGCTAAGCCACGTTGCAATTTTATTTTGTAGAAGAGCTGGTCTGACTTTTGGCGATCGGTTCGATCTTCCCGTTCAAGCATAGCCATTTTCGAAGTATTTTAAGATTTGAAAACATCACTAGTAAGCATATTAGGTGCAACTTGCCCGTTAATGTCGCGAAACAGTCCAACCACTACTGAGAGGAATTGTTTGTGTGGGTCTATAACGCCGTGCCCGTGAAAGTTAGTTTCTGGTCAGCGGAACCAAGCTTCGATATCATCGGCTCTGAATGCCATAAATTGAAAGGCGGGGGTGTAACAGACTTTTCTTGAACAGATTGAGTGTCTGTTCCGTCATTATGAGGATAAAATATATAAGTGACTGAATGAGTTCGGCGACATATCTGGAAGGTTACCGGTATGTCGAGAAGCGTTTGCTTCAGTCTTGCTAGGAGTCGCATGGTGTACATAGCACAGTGCACCTACTCATGATCTGGTGTGAGTACGCGACTGAACGCCTTCAGCTAGGGTGCGTCTGGTAAAACTAATGAGGTCACTTTCAATGTGGAAGGCTTACAGTATTAATTGTGTTGGTAAATTGTTCGCTGATACCCTTTCAGCTATAGAAATACAAAGTGATTTGGAGGCATGAGCGCCTTATACAGGAAGATTCAAAACAATTAAGTTGGAAACATTCAATGCTCCGCTAACAGAAATATAACCCAGTATAGAGGCTACTTTGTCTGGTCCCTATTGGGTGCATTGATCTATGTTTCATAATGAGCCCAATTATACTGTCAAACCCCTATTACTAGTGTTCAGCCCGAAACTCTATCTGAAAAGATTACAATTTACAATTTTCGGATCAGACAATATTACATAAAAATCTTGGACAAGTCCCTACTTAAGAGCGTTGGTCATCTATCCCTACTGTACTACTGCGTAAGGAGCATCTTATGTTTAGTGCGGTACTTCTGATTTTGGTGAGTGGTTCAAGGTCGGTTTGGGATCAGCTACTGCTGAGCTAGCTTTCCATTGGATCTCACTAGAATTGAATTACTGCTTTTACTTATGGAGTCCTACACAGTCTTATTTTTAAGATTGGTTGCACATGCATTTGGAGAAGATTTGTGTTATTAAACAAGAATATAAGATGCATATACCGTACAAAAGACAATGCCTATTATATGTATATATATATATATATATATATATATATATATATATATATATATATATATGGTGTATCTCAATCAATGAAGGTCAAAGTATTTTAAGAATCTTAGGATATTGTCCGAATCCTTTCCACTTGGCTTAACAGTCTTGTAGAGAAATGCCAGTGATTTCCCACGTTTTCCAGTTAGATTCAGGTAGACGCACTTATAAGTAATAGTATGGTATGTATTCCGAACGAAAGACATGTTGGAGACCGAGACTTCATTCCTGGTTATTTGCTTAAAGAATTAACTACCCTTATAATTTAGAAAACAATAAAGTTTTTACCATACAGCTGCGCGCTTATTGGAGTTCGAAGTCACTGAATTTAGTTTATCAAAACTTAGAACAAATAGAGAGACTGGGAAACAGCTAGAAAAAAGACGCTCTATTCCACGGCCATCATAGTATTGTGTGGGACAATCTAGAAAACTTAGTGTAAGCTCTGCGGCAATAAATACGCTCTACACTAGAATTGTAAAAATATTGACCTCGTTTACATTTTAAGGAATTTCCGAACTGTTAAGGATTGAAACCCTCAACATACAAAGCCAGGAAATTGTCCCCAGTATTTTCAGTGAGTAATCATACTAGAGTTACCCAGTTTTCTAAACATTTAAGGTCATAGTTTTGTGTCCCTTGTACTCATCATGTTTTAAGCAAGAAAACAGTAAATTTATTGACAGGATATATATTTAGCTTACAGCTCCGAATGCCCTGGTACGGCCGAGGGTGGGAAGAGTCAACTCTCTCTCTCTCTCCAAATATTCTCACATGGTCAGTGACTGACTGACTTGTACAGCAACTGCCAAAGAAGTCCTACTCAATACCTCCTCAAAATCGAAAGGACGAAAAGCGAATGCCCGGCGCTTTAACCGGGTTGGTAGACACGGAGGGTCCACCTAGGGGAGTTGGAAAACCCTAACTCCAAACCAATGGTGCACATGGGTCCCAGCATCCGGAAGGAACAAATGGTGTATGAACCAACCGTTGGCCGCCGGATATCATGGGACCGCATCTCCTGACGTCGCTGCACTGCCTTGTGTATCAGACCTTTAGGTCGAAGACTCCGAGTGTGACCCCCTGAGAAAACCACATGCTTCGTTCTGGACACCCGGACAGTATCACAGCCCACACAAAAATCAAGTGACTTGTATGGCGCATATGTATTCGGTGGTTTTTTGTACCAATATTTATGTGTTCAAATAAAAAGTTGCATATAGTTTTTTAGTTCATTTAATCTATAAACATGTTTCGTAGTATTGACAAGAGGACAAATGTAGTATGTAGAAACTCGCGAAATATTGTCAGGTTTCGGCAAAAGTACTTAACTTCATACATATGACTGCACTCTCCGAAAACTGCTCAAAAGAATTTTCAAAAACGAAAGAAAAATCTTACTAGCTTTTTATTTAACGTAATGGAGTCCATCTTTACACAGTTTTGTTCTCACTGTATAAAGTTACATCAATTTTAGTACACCCTTCGGTAGCCAATTACTTAAGTTATCAGGGTTTAGATTTGCTCATTGAATTCTCCTGCCTTACAATAAGCGTTTAGTATCTTTATTTTCTATCTTTCGTTGAATTTTCCTTAGTGGCATCCATTCACGATTTTCTGATCTAATTTATGGCCTCAAATGAAGCTTCGATTGAGGATTTAACAAAACTGTTGGCGGAATTCCATGGTCCTTCAACCAGTCCAACTCGACGTCAGGAAATACAGATTTTATTAGTAAATTTTGAAAGTTCTCCTAATGCCTGGTATCATGCAATATGTTATTTATCCATGTCGAGAAACCAGTATGTTGTTCTCTATTGTCTAGGCGTTATTGAGACAACTATTATTCGTCAATGGTTACTTCTTTCAAAAGATGATAAGTTAAAAATGCGTTCATTTTTAAAAGATTATCTTCATGAAAACGTAATGGATCAACCTAACTTCCTATTAAAAAAGGCCGCAAAATTACTATCACTGACTGCTTGCTTTGATTGGCCTGATCAGTATACTGATTATATGGAGTTCCTCAAGTCTCATATCTTCATTGATTCATCTAACAATTCAACCAATCTCAGGACATCGTTGATGGGTTGGTATTGTCTCAAGTCTATGTATGAATCATTTTTAAATCCACCAGAAATGATAAGTTATTCAAAGAGGAATGAGCTTCAAAATTTTTTACGTAAAGAAACTACTACATTCTGTGGATTATTGTGTTCGTTTATTTCACATTTATGTGGCGATGTTGAGTGCGGAAACTTAATAAATCTATCGCAGTCTTATTTATTGAGACAAAATTCCCAGTTGAATCAAAATAGTCAGCATTCTCTTTGGCAACCACTTCTCATCTTTTTAGAGTCTTTAGCCAGTGATTGTTTAACAAATTCTGGGACTAAATGTTACACATTGACTGAATGTTTTGAGTGCTTACACGAAGTGTTAAAATTATGGCCTGGTCAACCTGATCTCTTGGTAGAAATTTTGGTATTGATATTTCTTTTCTCATTGATAGGATCTCCTCAATGTTTATCAGCATGTGTTGAAGCAGAGGTAGCTCTTGCATTATCATCTCACGACTGTGATCTCCTCAGGTTTATTGGTTTGACTGCTTTGACTTGTTTACATGAGTTAGTTGAAAAACGAAACGTAGACAGTTTGATGACACATCAATCTAGCTTTGTCTTTCAGCTTATCACTTGTCATCTTAACCTAGCTAGTGGTCGTATTGTACTTAACAAGATTTCCACACAGAATGGTGGAAACAAGTTCAACAATAATAATCATGATATTTCTAGTGCTCTTGCAATGGATAGACAAAAACAGGCTAAATGCGACGATTATGAGATGAAGTTAGTCGAGATTATTCGGTGTATACTACCAAGTTGTCTTAAATTTGTTTATATAAATAATAATTTAGATAGCAAATTTTCAATGGATGGTTTAATCACATTTTTACAAGCGTTTCGTGAATTCACCTTTTTCACGTCAAATTTCGAAACATATTTATCTTGCATTAATATTTGGTCTAGCGTATTCGAATCTCTTCAGTTTTCTACGTATCAGTCATCTGATTGCTTACTATCTAATTCAAATGTACATAGAATACTCAGTGAATTCGGGAATGCTTTATTTTCTAGGCTTTTTTATAGTGAATCTTCGGCTTATTTAGATACATTGGATTATGATATATTCGAAAATGAAATGTTATGTGTGTCTTATCCCGCTAACAATGAGAATAGTTTGTTGTCCATTGTTTTCCCAGAGGAATTCCATACAAATAATTGCCAAAACAATGAACCGTGTGAATATGTAGTATTTATTCGTGAAAGTTTATCAACATTTCATCATTTAGTGTGTTTATTACCTCACGATTTTACTGTACTACTTTTTCAACGATTTCAATGCATTTTAAATGAATATACTTCACTGGTGAATTCAACTGGTCTATTGTCAGGTGTATTTAATTACCCCAAGGGTCAACCAGTCTATCGTGTCCATTGGATCTTAAGAGATTTTGCTTCAATTGTACAGGTGATTGGTTTTATGTCTGAAAAGTTTTGCTGTGAAAAATATCAAGAATATGGTCAACAAATTCTACGTGCTCTTATGTATTGTTTACGTTTAAATAGTGTGATTTTTCCCGCTCTTCACAATATTAACGAGCGTCTTATACGACTGAGTTTTGTTGAAGTTATTGTTCAGGTATTTCTTGTGTGGCGTGCTTTAATCGTATCTGGTTCTATTGGATTTATTACAGACTATATTAATTTGTCACATAATAAAATTTATCTCTCATCTACTGAATGTGAACATTTCTACTCAGAACTTATGGATATCTTTCAATCTTTCTTCAAACCACTTAAAGATACCACCTTGTCCTCCTCCTCTACTCTAATATCTTCAAGAATTATATATAGTTGTACTCAATTTTTCAACTGTTTATTTACGTCATCATTTCGTGATATACGTCCACCGAGCTCAATTATATTCAATGTAAATTCTAGGACTTTTGCCATATTTAACAGTATATTTGACTCTGTCTGTGAACAAAAGTGTCAAACATCCATTAATTATAATATATTGAACTCCTTGGTATCTTCATTTCTATTTTATTTAACTTCTGAAAATGAACCAACATCTCATTTATCTAACTATAATAATACTAATGATAAACAAAACAAATGGATCACCATACGGGATTCATTGCTTAATCGATTAATTGTACAATTATTTTTGCCTAATTTAAATCAGAACAATTTTGAAATTGCTCAAAAACAACATATTACTTATTTAAGTCTACTTAATCATTCTATATTATCTCTTGAAAATGCTAAGAATTCCACTCGTCAACTTGTTTATACAATACTTATAAACTCAGGTCTAATGGATAATCTAGTCAATTGTTTATTGAATAAAATTTTAATAAATAACTCTTATTCAACAAATATGAATTCAGATTTAAAAATAAGACTTTGTACAGCATATTTAATATTTTTAGCTACATTTGTTCGTATTTTATCAATTTCTAGTAATTCTTTATCATCAATACCACAATTAATTGGTCAAATTATTCATTCATTATGTACAACTTCATCATTAATGACTGTATCAAATTCTTTTTCAATTCATGTCATTGGTCCAATAATTGATATATTACTATTGATAACACATCAGAAAATATTTTTACCAATTTTAAAAGATACATTTGAGTTATGTATTTGTGTTTTTCTGCCTATCTTGTCAACTATTCCAAATGCAGTCTATACTGATGATGTACAAATTATACATCAATTAATAATGAATGCTTGTGCAAATAATAGTCAATTAATACAACAATTATTTGGATTAATATTTACCATTTTATCGAATAATTTTTCTTTCTTTTTTACTCGTAATACTTCTGATATAAATATTAGCCCAACTATTTCATCACCAGTAATGAATAGATCAATTATGTCACGTTATTCTTTAAATAATCCGGATATATTTCATCGAGTTATGTATATCTTTTCTGTTGTATTACATCCAGAACAAGTAAATTCTAGCTTGGTTAAATTTATTATTGAAAAACTAGTTCATTTAAATGCATCGCATAAATTGTTTGATTTATATGATTTTAATAAATCATGGTTATCTGTATTTACTACATCTATATTCAATCTATTAATTGATAATAAACATAATTCATGTAAAGATACATTAACTGAAAGTGTATATTATTTTGTTGTCTCGTTTACACACTTATCTTGTCCTCAAAATAGTAACGATCCTAATAGAAATAACAATAGTTCTAATGATCATTGTACTATCAATAATAATAATAATAATAACGAACATCAATCTAATGGTTTATTTCACTTTGTGCAACATTTTCTTCCATCATATTTGAATACCGTAGGAAATTTAGACAATAGTCAACGTGACTCAATTTTATCCTGTTTCTATGATACAAATCAAAGGGAATTCTACACTAAAGATATTACAGTATTTAATCATTGCATAGAATTACTCGTTTACAATATACGATATTATCGTACCATTAATTTGGCGATGACAACAGTTTCATTGGCAAACTCTCATACGTAGATTTTCCATTGTATATCCCAGTAAGTTTTATTATTTCGAAGTATTTGATTTGTGTATGATTATTGGTATGATAAAGCTCTCACATTTTTTTAGTTGCTTGTGACATTATTGTTTTTTGAAGTCGTATGTGTATACCAGGTATTAGAAAGTTACCTCAGCGATATATATATATATATCCTTATTAGGAGTGAAGTACAGGCCCGTTTACTAACATATGAACCATCTTCTTTTAACAAAGCCAAATGATGCTAACCACTTTTCGTTTGTGAGTTGGGTGAAGATAACTAAAATATATGACCCTATAAGATGAGATTTGAGTTACAAACCATTGAATCACAGCTTTTTAACATAAACACAAAGCGAATAACTCGATAAGACTGAACTACCTCTGTTTCGCATGATTCCTAGTTGTATTCGTCCTATTAAGGTTTGGCCAAGTACTTAGTACAAATACCTCTTGTGAAAAGTGTAACTACTATTGTGGTGGACGCTCTTCACAAGATTCCTTCTAAGTAGTGTGTAGCGGAACGCGGCCTTGAATATGTCACAATCATCAGACGGCGTAAATAGTTTCAGTACATCAAAAGCACAGCGTAGGCAGAACACACCGCCAGATAGAAATGGATGGTCGGTTATATATATGCCGATTGTGCTAATCTACATTACTGCATGAAGCTGCATATGGTCACTAACTTTAATCGGCATTTAAAAATTGGTGAAACAATATTTACGACCTACAAAATGTTAGTTATCCATTTATTTATTGGGATAGATCACTATTATGAATTGCCATAAGTTATTTTACTATACCATCTAATCCTCATCTCTGATTTGTGTTTTTCTTCGTAACAGACAATCTCTGGTATTCTTCAGTCATGGAGAATTACATTCACTTAGCCCCGTCAGTGAGTATACTATCGAATTTCTCTATCATCCATGTGCTGTTGATCACTAATCACTTGTTATTTGTTCTGTGAGTACAATATTGTTCAGTGTTTATGAGTTATCTTATTAATTTCTTTATTGAAAAGTTCAGTTTATAATCTTCACATTTTAATAATGCATTTCCTCAATACACCTACACACACACACACACACTTCTAAATGTATTTTTCTACTGTTAGTTATTTACACGTTTTGTTTTTGACAAAAACAAAAAAAATTTTGCCTTTGATTTTGTTTTACTCTGATCATATTTTTCTTTCTATTTAATCTTTATTTAATTATTATTGTTATCATTATCGTTACCATTATTATTATTATTATCGACCAATTTAGTTGCTTGTGTTTTCTTGTGACCTGAGTCTTGTAACATTGTTAGACAATTAGTCAAGTTGTTTGCTTATATACTCAGTGAGGAAGACCATAACAGAAACAATAATTGCGTTTATACATTCTTTCTCCTTAATTCTGTATTTTATTATTTGTTTGTTTGTTTGATTATTTTTTTCATTATATAAAATAATTTTTCATGAAACATTGTTTAGTTTCACTATTGTTGTTATTGTTTAACGATTATATAGCATTCCATGTGCATAGGATTTGTACATTTTGTTGCTTTGATAGTTTTTTAAACATAGTAATATTGGTACGATTGACTGAGTGATTAGATGAGTTATCACCATACATTATTTATTTATTTGAACACATAAATATTGGTACAGAGGGGAACCGAATACATATGCGCCACACAAATCTCATTTGATTTGTGTGAGGGCTGTGATACTACCCGGTGTCCAGACCGAATCATATGGTTTTCTCAGGGGATCACACTCGGAGTCTTCGACCTAAAGGTCTGATACACAAGGCAATGGAGCGACGTCAGGAGATGCGGTCCCATGGTATCCGGCGGCCAACGGTTGGTTCATACACCATTTGTTCCTTCCGGATGCTGGGACCCATGTGCACCATTGGTTTGGAGTTAGGGTTTTCCAACTCCCCTAGGTGGACCCTCCGTGTCTACCAACCCGGTTAAAGCGCCGGGCATTCGCTTTTCGTCCTTTCGATTTTGAGGAGGTATTGAGTAGGACTTCTCTGGCAGTTGCTGTACAAGCGTGGCGATGTGAGAATATTTGGAGAGAGAGAGAGAGTTGACTCTTTCCACCCTCGGTCATATCAGGGCATTTGGGGGACACATCATACATAATAAATAAGTTGATAGATCTATTGAACAATAACCAGTGTCATGTTTCTCTTGCCTTAAATGATACAGGTTCGAATCTCATAGGCATCATTAATCCCCTTGAGATTTTAGGGATCGCTTACTGTGATAAAAATCAGGTAGCATGACATCTAAGTATAGTTGGATTTCCTCCTCACTATTCTCAACCACTTAATATCAGATAACAGATAAATATACTTAAACTGTCTAAATGTAAATAACGATCCAAAGTGTACAATTCATCGATGAATCGATCAACCGCCGTATTCAAAACTACAATAAAATAAAAATATATTGCAAGTTCACTTGCATACTATCTGTGTATTTTTCTAAAAACTATCCGTTTAATGTAACTAAAACGTACTTCACTTAATTTTGCGTTGAGTAATCCTAATTTGTTCCTTTCTATATGCTATAAAGGTAAGAGCTTATCTTTCCTCACAATTGTTTAAATTGGATTTGAGAAGAAAAACAACAGAAAAGATACATCTGAATCTTACCAATAGAATGCCACAGCCTAAGCAAACGTAATAGTTGACAGTATTGTAGACAGTCTATTGTCTGTAAAACACTCTCATTGCGATATATAGGAGAAATTCTAAAATCGAATTTTTCGGCTGTCATTAAACATTTAAAATTCATGAAACCTCATTATAACATAAATAGTGCATAATTAGTCAAATAAATCAGTCAAATATAGTTATCCATTTTGTCATAAAAACTAAAGCAATACTATAATCATACTCAGTAATCTAATAGTTGTAAGTTAATTGTTTGCACAGCTGAGCCACTACTTCAGCACAGAGACCGGAAATATTGTGGTTTTGTATTCTTTGAACTAGATGATTCAGTTGAGAAACTTTCATTATCGTACTTGACGACATAATCAGTGCCCACTTCATGCAGATGTGAGCTTTTCAGTTGTTCCATTAATGTTATATCAGTTCGCTGTACTTCCCATTTTTATAATTGGTTGTCTTAGTAGGTTTAATTTTATTCATTGACCTTTTTCGATTGATAGATTGTATCTACTTCGATGGGTTTTAAACTATATTACAGGCTGTGAGCAGCTACAGAAACCTAGCGAAATAAAATAAACTCATTATATTCTGCTCATATCTTTATTTCATTTTCGTTTCAAGACTATAAAGGGTATCGTGTATATGAAACTAAAATTTAATTCGATTTTAACTTTTCACTAATGAAAGACTTTGTACGCAAAGTAGTACACCATGGACTGCCAAAGTAGCGACTTGATTATTATTGTTAACAGAGTTCTGTCAAGTGATATGAATTAATAGTACAATATATTTTGTGTTGAACAGTTGATGTTGTAGATGCGGAGGAATAGACCAATAATTATGATGTTAAGTCCAATGGTGTCCTTGGACTTTAAATGTACATTTCCTATTGGTCGATATTTGTTCACTTGTTAAATATTGTACAAAATGTTGTTTTCTATTTTATGGTACGATGTGGTATGCTTGATTGGTATATAAACAAAGTATGTTTGAAATATAATGATTCATAACCCAGAGGCTGTGACTTGTGTTCTTGACTCAACTGGCTGGGGCTAGACAGGGAAGCGAGACCAATCAGGGCACTAGGTCGTGCTTACGTGTTTACGTGTCACTGTCCATTGAATCGATAAATAACGCTGCGTATCAAACCCTGCAGTCACACACACGTTACAACAGTTGAGAACATCACAAAAGAAGAAATTCATTCAGCTTTATATTCTGTTAATCAGTTACAAACTCGAGGAGTATGTTGAACTTCAAAATATCACACGATCTCGTTTAAATTCCAGCCAAAAATATTACAGCTAAATACATTAGTACTCAGCCAATCACGAATGTTTTGTCGTAAATCCTGATAATGCCCATGAATCATTTACTGAATACGGCAATTCATAATGACGATTTACTAACCATATGAAATATTAGTAATTATCTAGTCACAGAAACATCTTGGTGTTTTGTGTTGAAAAAAAATAAGTCTTTGTTTGAGTAATCCTAGTTAATCCCCTTCATAACCTTTTTTTCACAATTAATTCTGTCATATATGTATGTATATGATTTTTATTTCCTGTATTTATAAAAGAAGGTAAATTGCATCACGCGGATTTTAGTTTTTAGATAGCCATTTCTTCACGTGAACCAACAAAAATGGAAATAAACCATGAGACAATTTCATCTTTTCAAGAAGTTCTACAAATAGTAACATGTGACCACCAAATAATTAGTTCTTGTTGAGATTTAAGTTATTTAATAACATAAACACTAAATAAAAGAAAATCCATCTAGATTTAGAGTTTTTGTGAAACAATAAGTTACAGTTTTGATAGTTTAGGGGATCAAAAGTTAACAGTCGAAACTTGAACCTTCAAATTTTTTAGGCAGGGATATTATTACACAGCTGCTACCTACCTAACTCCTCCTGTAGCTCTTCTAGAGTTACTGCCGGTCCCGAGCCCGCGTAAAAGGGAAGGGTTGGGCATGGGGTCAGCGACCCCATCCCGTAGAAAACTAACTCGCTAACAAAGAACGCTGACCAGAAAAAAATAATTCAAACCATTTAAACTCTGCCCTGGGGGTTAGAAGGTCTTCATTTGGAAGAATTATGACACCTCATGGTGAAAGCCGAGTTCCTTCGGAAGCCACGAGGCCGATGCCCCTTCTAACAACCAGAGCAAAAATTTTTATAGGTACATGGAACGTTCGAACAATGTGGGAGACCAGTCAAATAGCAAAGGAAATGAGGAGATACAATTTGGCAGTACTGGGAATCAGCGAAACCCATTGGACCCAAGCTGGACAACGAAGGCTTAATACGGGAGAGATGCTACTATACTGCGGTCATGAAGAGGAAAATGCTCCACACACTCAGGGAGTTGCTCTAATGCTGTCCAGAGTAGCACGAAATGCACTAGTAGGATGGGAATCTCACGGATCCAGAATCATCAAAGCATCATTCAAAACAAAGAAGGAGGGGATCACAATGAATATTATCCAGTGTTATGCACCCACCAATGATAGCAACGACGAAATTAAAGATCAATTCTACGAGCGGCTGCAGTCAATCATAGAGAAGTGCCCAAGGAAGGACTTCACCATTCTGATGGGAGATCTAAACGCCAAAGTCGGAATAGACAACACCGGATATGAAGATATCATGGGACGACATGGACTGGGAGAAAGAAACGAAAATGGGGAAAGATTTGCAAATCTGTGTGCATTCAGCAAATCGGTCATAGGAGGCACAATATTTCCACACAAACGTATACACAAAGCTACATAGATCTCACCGGACCACACTAAAGAGAACCAGATAGATCATATTTGCATCAATAAAAAGTTCCGAAGAACAATGGAAGATGTAAGAACCAGGAGAGGAGCTGACGTAGCTTCAGATCACCACCTAGTTGTGGCCAATTTAAAACTGAAGCTAAAGAAGAAATGGACAATACAATAGACAGCTCAGAACCAATTAGACGATTTGGACTTCGCAGATGACCTAGCCCTCCTATCACGTACACACGAACAAATGCAGATGAAGACAGCCAGTGTAGCAGCAGTCTCTGCATCAGTAGGCCTCAGTATACACAAAGGGAAAACTAAGGTCCTCAAATTCAAAGCGGAGAACAGCAATCCAATCACTCTTGATGGCGAAACTCTGGAAGACGTAGAGTCCTTCACATACCTAGGAAGCATCGTCGATGGACAAGGAGATTCAGATGCAGACGTAAAGGTGAGGATTGGCAAAGCAAGGGTCGCATTCCTTCAATTGAAGAACATATGGAACTCAAAATAACTGTCAACCAATATCAAAGTGAGAATCTTCAATACGAACGTCAAGGCAGTTCTACTGTATGGAGCTGAAACTTGGCGAACTACAACAACCACAATCAAGAAGGTACAAGTATTTATAAATAACTGTCTACGCAAGATACTCAACATCCATTGGCCGGATACCATCAACAATAGCCTTCTGTGGGAGAGAACAAATCAACTTCCAGCTGAAGAAGAAATTAGGAAAAGACGATGGAAATGGATAGGACATACATTACGCAAATCGTCGAACTGCATCACGAGGCAAGCCCTAACTTGGAATCCTGAAGGGAAGCGAAAAAGAGGAAGGCCAAAGAACACATTGCGTCGGATAATAGAAGCAGATATGAAAAGGATGAATAACAACTGGAAGGAGCTAGAAAGGATTGCCCAGGACAGGGTTGGATGGGGAATGCTGGCGAGCGACCTATGCTCCTTCACGGCGAATAACAGGCGTAAGTAATGGGCTCCTAATGAAACGAATTCTGTTTCATTATTCCCGAATGAATAATATTCAAGAATATACGAAAACTTGACCAAAAAGGTGAATAAAAAATAACTGGAATATCCAGCTTATCACGTAAAAACTATGTAATTGTCGGCTAAATCACTTGTTTCTCAATTACAGGTCTTAAACCTGGTCCAATAACTACATCTTACGTTTCAGATGACCGTTTGACTTAAAA